TGGAAGCCCGTCAGCATTTTTTTGTGTCTGGAACGGCGGTCAAAACCGCAGACGCTTCGGAGGCGGACGATGGGCAAATTGTTTGGCCAACACAAAGTTTATTTAATTTCTCACAGAATGGAGATCTACGTGCCCCTTTTTTGACTTTGTTGATTAAAACAAATTGCGCCCTGTCTCAACTGCACCGGCGAACGTCAGACGGTCAAGAAAATTGTAGGAGGAGATTTGGATGAAGTGGAAAATGTTGAAACAGATAGGATTTGTGGGGTTTCAGTGTTTGAACCCGTCTAGACTACCAACGCGAGATTGCGGAAATGTTGTTAAAAAACTAAAAGAAATAAATCAAAAATTTTAGATACATGCTTTGTAATAGTAAGTAATTTAATCTTCAGTAATTCTGATAAAAACTCTTTTAGTTTGGCAAGCGCAACTGTACCCAACTTGCGCCCCTCTCCGCGCTTCTCAATGTTTTCAGCTGGCAAAGCAAGTCTTATCTAATTAGTCTCGTTCTGTATCTGAGTTTGTTTTCGCAATCACATTTCGTATTTGCTTTTCATTTTTTTCGCAAACTCAAATTTGCTGGCAATTGTCATAACTCTAATGCAATTAACCCTTGCCCAGCCAGCGAAGGGCTTATCAGATAAGGACGAGCAAGCAGCGCGAAAACAGAAAACAGGACACGAAGGGGAGGGGCTGAGTAAATACAGCCATAGAGTAAACCTAAATATTTAATTAGGATTATAACGAAGCGAGCTTATCGCGGATGGCGGCAGCATCACAACTGAAAGTGATGAGGGGCGTTGGGGGAGGGAGCGATGGATGTCAAAGACTGTGTCCTGCGGCAAGGGCTTCCTGTTCGCAGGAAACGGGGAAATGCACAAGTGTGTGAGGGACACCAACTATGTGCGTCTGGCGTTTCACTTTTCGTTGACTTAATTTAATTAATTTCCTAGCCCAAAGGGTCCGTCCTGTCAGCCTGCCTGGCTGTCTGTCTGTCTATCTGTCTATCTCGCCCTCATCCTGGGCCTTTTTTATTTGTTGATACGTATACGCCACGTTGCAGCCCACCTACTTGATGCATATATAGACACATATGCCTATCGATACGATACACCATGCACGATACCCAGGCAGCAGGACTCGTGGGCCAGGCGGTTGTGTGTGTAATATGCTGTAAATAATGAAAATCCAATTTTTGTTGCTTCTTTTTTTACCCTCACCTGGAGTGTGTGTGCTGTGGGCGGCATAATGGGTTCATCATCGTTGTGGCGGAAAGATGATTATGACCTGGCACGTATGTAGTTGGATAGATAGGTACCCTCCATAGTTTGTCAGGGGTCAACCACCACCACCACCCCCGAAGATGGATGGGGGCATTAAGTTAATAAACTGTTAAGCCTTTGTTATGGTCAGAACCAAAGTCTGAAAAATTCAATTTAAGCCGGTGGGTTAGGTGGGCAGCCCTATCGAGAGGGTATTCCGCATTCTTGGTGAACTGATTCTTGGGACTCTGCTTTCTGGCTTCTTGATTGCATTACATTCTCAGCCCTCGACTCGTTTCATTCCGTCTGCGTGGCGCATTCCATTTGCCCTTTTTCGTTGACTTTGCCTCCTGGAGATTTAATTTCGGTTTTCGTGCATTTTTTTTGAGCTCCTTTCTTTCCATTTTACTTATTTTTTCTCCCCCACGCAGAAATAATCAAGTAATGAAACTTCACCGACCGAAACTTAAGGATATTCATGAACGAGCATTCTTCCCTTATTTGGGCAAGGAACTGAAACATGTTGCTGTTTTCACTGATGCCTCAGAAATTATGCAGAGCATAACAAGTTTTCATCAATATTAATGCCGGTCCGAAATGTGATTAAAATCGAGAGACAATCTATAGCGAACGGAATGGAAATGCGACTCGGACCGAGATGGGGGCCCCGAGAATCGGAGACAGAGGAGCCCAACCACTTCGCTCAGCTGCCGGAGCGGCAATCAAATTAAACTTGAAGTGATTTTCAATTGGAAATTCTCGTAACGGCTTCCAGGCACACCGCAACACACTTAAGTGTATTCAAATTAAACTGACGCAGACCGAGCCAACAATGCGACTCCGATAGCAACAGTCACGGGCGGAGATGGGAGCGTGAGTCCTGAAAAGGTCCGGGTTTACCTATAAGGATAGCTCCTTAGGATCCCTAGAATAGAGAAATAGCAAAAGAATATAATAGATTAAGAAAATTCATGAAAAAGTGAAGTAATTCCATATCTTATTTTAATAATAATACATTCCATAGACTCTTTAGTTCCTCAGTTATGAGATCCTAATAGGTAATCATGTATTATATTTCAAGGTGATAGATATAAACTAGAATATGTAGGAAGGCTCATATAACAAAGGATAAACATATTTAAACAATATTAGTCATTAAACTAAAATTGTATGCCTTTTATTTTCATATCAATAGATATATATAAAGGTAAGCCTCAAGGTCCCAAGATAACTGTTTTGAATATTCTGGAAACAAGGACATTTTTAAGAAAAATACCAAGCTATACGATTGTTAAAAGCAAGGGGAACCATTTTATAAGTAATTTATTATAATTATAGATTCTAATGTAAAAAAATAGATAATAATCATTAAAAAAAAATATATGTTTTAGGCACTTTTTTATGAATACATAAGGTCATATAAAGCTTGAATAGATTTTGTTTATAGACCACGTGATGTTGAGTTCTCACGGCATCCGATCTGACCGAGAAAGTGGTATCCATCTTCCCTATGTCTTCTCCGACTGCCAGCCCCCAAAAGCCATCAAATAGTCGACTCTGCCTCCGCCTGTTTTACTGGACATTTTGCCTTGTAATGCGATTGTTGTTTGGTGCCATTGTTGGCATTCTTGTGATTGCTGTTGTTGCTATCAGCTTGTCTATCTGCGTGTTTAGTTGTAGACCGAATGCTTGGGGATTGCTGAGGGGTGAGTGGTTAGGGGTGGTGCGGGAGGGGCTGTCAACAAGCAGCCATAGCGTCAGCAATTGCGGATTCGCCACCCATCACCCACCACCCACTCCCCAAAGGCCACCCACTATCAACCCACTTTATCCAACACCCACCACCCACCAAGCTGAGCTTTCGTCCTGTCTGCGGTCGTCGCTTTTTGGCAACGTTTAGCGCGTGTGCAGGACTCGCGGTTTTTGAGCTGCCGCCTGCCGTTGATTAGATTGTCTGATACTTTAATAGGATTGTAAAAGCATGAACAACCCACGAATGGCCAAAAACCAACCCACCGGGCCAAAAACCGTTGGCGTTTGAGTTCGGCTTTGGGTATGCTAAAGTGCTCAGCCGCCGACACACTTAAAAACAAAAAGGGGGAAGGAGTTGAAGTTGAAGTTTGGTGAGAGCAGCCAAAAGTGGGGCAATTGGCATGGGGTTTGCCAGGAAAAAGGATCTCTGGTACTCGAACTTGTTGTTAAAACTTATAATCAGAGATCTAACAAAATATAAAATCTAAATCTTTAAAAAGTAGAAATAAGTACCAACCTAATTATTCAAATAAATATTTTGAAAACCCATCCAAAATCAAATTCTTTTTACATATCCAAATTCATTAATATCTGTTGTTCCATAAGGCCCTAAAGTGTTTAAAACCCTAATCTAAATGTGCCTGTTTGCAAATGTGTAATCCATTAATTACCCAATAAAAACTAATTAACTGGCCCAGATGTACACCTAACTAGCTAGTAAATTTCATAGTTACTTGCCAATCCACAACTCATTTAATTTTCAAATCTACCAACTAATTATTCAATTGCCCAAAAGTCAGGTTAAACTTTTGCGAAATGAGCAAAAGCGGTAAGCGGCTTAAGTGTTCTGCCGGATATGCAGTTATATATATGTATGAACGACCATATATATCAACCGATTCGAAATATGGAGTACGTCGGGCAGGTTTTGGCCAGCAAATAAACAGTTAAGGGCTTATAAATTACATATACCAATGGGGAGTGTCATGCAACATGACAGACTTCAGTCTTCTGTTCTCATTCCTCGGAACCGATGGGGAGTCGGGGCGAAATCTGTATTAAAATCGCATTATGTCCGCCTCACTTGGCAGAGGGACAGCCAGGGATCGGCGGGGGGAAAGTGGAAAACTGCAGCTGCAGCTGGAGCTTGAGCTACGGGAAAGTTGAGCTCCGAGGAGAAAGAAAATTTGCCAAATGTACTGTCAGGACAGCAATGCCCGGGCAAGTTTATAAACCGAACTTTGGGGCTGAAGTGGGTTAAGTGTGGGGGTCCGGACCCCTCGATTTTCGCCCTTCGTTTGGCTGCGAGCATTAACCTCAGAATGCATTTACAGCAGTGGAGCTCCAGAGGGGAAAAAGGGGGGTTCAAGGAGAGGAAGCTGCAGTCTGCATTCAGGCCCGGAAAAATGAAAAGTTCTCCCTTGGCCAGAACAGCAATTGTGGTTTCTAATTGTTTGGGGTATTTTGCACTAACAATTGACCGCAACTATGCGTTGTAATTTTGAACTTTTTTTTTGTCTGTTTCATCCTTCACTCTTGCAGTTTTCTTTTTTTTCCACAAAATGAGCCACTACAGAATCGATAGCTGTGTACTGGCTAGTTTCTATGGTACAGTTCCCACACTAATTATGCCAAGCAATATTGAGTGAAGACAAGGCAAACCTATTGTTGGAATTTCATTATTCTATTAATATTCCCATTGTCTTGTCAGTGAAATTATAGGGGGGAGGGCTTTTAAGCTCATCTTAAGCAAAATATCTTCATATATGTTCGATGCATACGTGGCTGGAAGATCAAAGCTTAACTGATTAATAATCTCCTTAGGTAATTTAAAAAATCCCCTCTTAGGTTATTGAACTAAAAAACCACCTCTTGACATTACTGATAAGACCATGAAGTCATCCTCAAGCGGGAAATTACTTTCCATCTATAGATTGGGTATAAATATGGATTTCATTTCATTGACTGAGTTTAGTTCCTCTTAAATATGAAAAGTCTTCAGTATTCGCTGCTCATCGTCATATATATGGCTATATTGGGAATTTTTAACTGCGAGGCCAGAGTTTGGAGGCCTCCACCGCCACCAGGACGAAATCCTTTTGATTTCAAACCCTCACCATTTAATCCGAGCAAAGGTTAACTAAAAATAAATAATAACTAAACGCAAAAAAAATAAAACTTAACCCGTTTTTGTATTTAAATTAGCACTAAAACTTAAGCTGATATTTTTCACACACTTCTGAACCCTTTTTTTTGCAAGTCCTAGACAAGGACAATTTAAGGCCCCCACTGTCAGTCAACAAGGGCTTTTCGTAAGCCTGCCAGCAACATCCTATTCTCCTCACAGCCCGCAAGAGTGACAAAGAAGATATATTAAAGTGGTTTTTAATCATTTTCCGCTGTTTTTTTAGTCTGTGTGTGTATGGAAAATGAATTAAAGGACGCCTTTCAGGATATAAGCCCAGCACGAAGCTTAGGGGCGGTGAATTTCAACGAGAGTTTATTAAAAAAGAGACGAACGAGCCCCTAAAATAAATTTATGTGTGGCAAAAAAGCATGAAAAATGCGTTGCCTAGCTGATAAAGCCGTTTTGTTTGCCCACACAGACTCGCTTAATGCAGATTTATGATTTTAATAACAGGTTGCACACACATGAATAAGCGTTTTCATTTTTAAACCGCAAAATGTTAAGAGTATTAGGAAATTTGGTTCCCTTTCTTTAGTTTTTTTTTAGTAATTTTTTTGGCGGGCATGCCTTAGTTCCTATTTTGTTATAACTTGTAATTAAGTATCACACATTTTAAAATTATAAGCCGAGTGGGCGTTATTTCACTGGGCGTTATTGCCCGACGATTCTCCATGACATTGTTAATTATGCAAATGTTTGCAGTTATTAGCCGAAACGCAACCGGGAATATTCCCCTCGTAAACATCATAGTCACAGCAAACTGCAATCTCGATTTGCCAACTTTGCAGACTCTTGCCGCAGCAACAAACATTTTCAATTTCCCAGCGACTCCAGGTGTACGGTAGAGTGGGCGGAAAATTCAGGGGGAGGCAGGTGAAAAGCTGGAAGGTGTGTGTGCATGGCTCAGGAGCAGCGCCGCGAGCATTCCAAACCGAAACAAGGTGATGTGGCCAGGATGACGACGATGCTGGAAATGTGGTTCACTGTTACCGCTGATGAGGAAATTGTTTCGAAAATCACTGGGGAAGTGTAATAAGATGGAAAACAGGGGTGTCTACACAGAGAGCTCTTTGGGCTTCCGATGTTTTATGATGCTTGAGATTAAAGCTTTAGTGTGTTAGAAACTATTTTAAAAAAGGGTTTCTTGAAGTTAAGAAATTTATATTCGAATGCTAGTAATGTTACCCCTTTGGCTTAAGCCTCTGTCTCTAGTATGCATAGTATAAGTAGAATGCGAAAAGTGCTTGAAAAATGTCAGTTTCTATTGGAAAATTGCTTTTAACAACAATTTAATATATTGTCAGAAGGTATTTCATAGCTTCAGGGTATACAATTATTTTAGGGTCATCAAAAAACATTTTCTAATATTTTTATAAGGATGTTTTAACAAATGTACAAAGTCACAGCTTAAAACTTAACGATTTGGTCTTGTTTTGTGTTCATTGGTTGGAATTATAATTAAAGAAGACAACCTATTCTTTTACTTTTTTTTTAAAACAGCTTTCACGGTTTTACTTTTTAATAAAAAAGCAGCTACAGTAATTTACATCACTAAATCAAAACGTCTACAAAAATTGTCAATTTAATAAATCTGTACAAATTTGCAAGACATTGGTTTGCATTCACAGCACAACGGTTCCTACAGTGGCAAAAACTTTTCAATCAGCTCTCGTTAGGAACGCGACTGGCATTAAATTCGATGGAGAAGTGGAGGCAGGAACACACCTGGCCAGGTAATGCAAATTTGGTGTAACTGCCTTGCAGAACGATCGCTGTCATCTTGCACAGCCACAGCATCATCATCATCATCACCGAGGTCGCAGGGCAGGAGAGGAGCGGGGAGGAATCCTGGGGGATTCAATGCCATTTGGGCCATCAGAGGGGCTTTTCGAGGAGCTTCAAGGAGTCCAAAGGCAGTGTCTGAAGGACGCCCAGGTAGCCGAGGAAGTCCACGTAACTGAACACCTGGTCAGGTGAGTTCGGCTCCGGTTTGTGGTAAGGTGCCAAATCGTGACAGATGAAGCGCCGTGGTTGCGCCACTGTCACGTCGAAGATCTCATAAATCTGATTATACATCTTCGTTCCGTCGTCAAACTGCATGGCCACTTGGTCGAAGCTAATGAGGAGGTACAGCAGTTAATTGGCAGATAGAGTAATTAGCATGCACTCGGAAAAATTAAATCTTTTAAGTGTGCATTTAAAAGTTATAATACATAATGAAAAATACAAAAAAATATTTAATGGTCCAGCATGGGATAGAAATTAGTAAAATTAATTCAGGTACACGTTCTTAAAATTATGTAATTCACTTTGTACTTATATATGAACTAAGGAAGAAGAAAGGATAAAGTATTGTTTACAATGCAGTTCATATTTTACATTTCTTTGAAATATTGGTATGCACTTTATCTAATTAAAATACATGTACACACTAAAGATAATCGAAATAATTATTTATTTTTTTAATTTTTTATAATCCATCCAAAATTAAATATTTAAAAGTACTGATTCTATATATATAATAATCATGATCTAATCGTTTTAAAAATAAAATACTTTTGTGAGCTCTTAAAATGATTAAGACTTCTGGTATCTATAAAAATAATTCATGATAGAGTATTCCTCTCCAGGGTACCCACCTGCCCTTTTCTATGAACGGTTTCAATTCCGGCAGCTGGATTATGCGGTCCACACGAATGTCGTCCACCTGTAACTCGAATGATTGGACCAGTTCGCCGGGCATCCTGCAGATGCGCACCTTTTCCATGACCTCCATAGCGTGAATCTGACGAGTGGGCCATTTGTGATTCAGCCAGCGGATGGCGGCGTAGAAAACCTCGGCCTCACTGTTGACTCTTATTTCGTTCGAGGAGAGCAGAAAGATGAGGCTTTTGACGGGCAAGGCGAAGAACTCAATGGAGGATATAAAGACCAGGAAGAAGTACTGTACCCGATGCAGCATCAGGCAATGCAAACGATTAAGATCCTTGAAGGGCAAGGCATCCAGGGCCACCTGAATGGCCTGATCCTCACCGAAACCCGAGTCCTGCTCCAAGCAGTACCAAATGTGGGAGGACAACTTCTCTATTTTCAGATAATCCGCCGCCAACAGGAGGTGAACAATTCCTGGACGCTTCACCAGCGGTGTCTGATTACTCATCCAGTCATATAGCATTTCAAAGGTCTCCGGTCTAACCAAGTTCTCTGGCAATCGCAGTTCACATTTATCTAGCTCTTGCCTCACGAGATCCACGTAGACCATTAGGATCAGACGATCGCAAGGAAAATCATGGTCGCCGATCCGAACCAGGAAATCGTGGCCCTTGTTTTCCTGCCAAAAGTTCTTAAGCGTTTCCAGGATGTTTTTCTGCTTGGGCAAGTGAATTTTCTTCAAAAGCGATGGCATCCGATTACTGTTCCGAAAGTCGCGCAAGCTGAGTTCTGGTAACTGCGGTTCCATTGGTAATTCATCTGCTTGGACCATATTGTCGTTGGTTACCAATTCCATTTTGGAAGACCTAAAATTTTGATAGTGCTTTTTGATACTTGTGAAAATAGGAAAAGAACGCTACAAAATGACAGACAGTTTATTGATTACTAGATGTGAGAAAAACAATTTAAACAAGGAAGAACGCTATAGTCGAGTACCTCGACTATCAGATACCCGTTACTCAGCTATATGGAGATATGCAAGCAGCAAAGCGAGATTAAAATGCGCCACCTACCGGCGGTATACAGATTTAAGCGTTATGGGCGTTAGAGTGGGCGTGGCAAATTTTTTTTTGGATCAATCGATAGGTATCGACGAGACCGATACATTTCAGTTAAAATTTTTTATCTAGCATGAAAATTGTGGGCGTCACAGGGTTTTGCGGTTTGTGGGCGTTAAAGTGGGCGTGGCAAACTTTTTTTTGGGTCAATCGATAGGTATTGATGAGAACATTACATTTCAGTTAAAATTTTCTATCTAGCATCAAAACTGTAGGAGCCACAGTTTTGGGCGGTTTGTGGGCGTTAGAGTGGGCGTGGCAGTCTACTGAAACAAACTTGCGCTTGTCCGGACAGACGGACAGACGGACAGACGGACAGACGGACATGGCTAGATCGACTCGGCTAGTGATCCTGATCAAGAATATATATACTTTGTGGGGTCGGAAACGCTTCCTTCTGCCTGTTACATACTTTCCGACGAATCTAGTATACCCTTTTACTCTACGAGTAACGGGTATAAAAATAGTTTTCTTAACACTTTTATTAAAATATAATTAAAATAATTGTGATTTATGTACACACCAGAATATTGCTTATTCAGGATAAGCACCACTTACCTATTTTCGAAAATGTACCAATAAACATCTTTAATATTCCTTTTAGTATCCAATATAACTCAAATGAGTGATTCCCACTAATGCTGCAGTCAACATTACAATGGTGCTCACTTGAATAGGTGCGTGTCACACAATTAGCTTTTACACCCAAGCAATACCGCTGATAATATAGAACAAAACCCGTCTAATCAGGGCATCCTTCGATTTCCCCCAAGCCCGCTGGCTTTCACTTTTTCCTTTCCTCCGAATGGCCAATTAGACGCACAATGCGCCTCAAATTATGCAACACAGCGCGACAAATTCAATTTGCCACGCCCCCTCTCTTCCGTTCCGACCCGCTCTCTCCCACGCGGCAATGGCAATACACGTGACCAAAAACAACGGTGCGAGCGACAGAGACAGCAAATGGGACACGTTGGAACTTGTCCTGAAAAATCCCTGGAGAAATTAGTTTGATTTATGTTGAGTTTCCGGTGCAAATAAATTGCCAAGTTTAGAGAGAACTTTGGTCGCACTGCAGACGCATAATTGATTATGCGAGCGGCGTACAATTGGTGGGCGTCTGTAGGAGGGGGCGTAGCTGAGGGGGTGAGGGACAAAGGGCGACAGGGGGTTGACTGCGATGACTGTACATTGTTAATGGAGAATGGGCGAGGGGCTTATTACT